GTTTGCCCAGGGCGAGGCTACCGCTACTTGCCGATGATATATGCAACTTTTCTTAGTGAAATCGCGAAATTCGTTCGAGGTGAAAGCAGTTCCTCTATCTGTCACAACTTCTTTGCTTGGTCCAAAGCTAGTAAATAAGAACTTGAGGCTCGTAACTATTTCTTTTGTGCTCGTAGATTTCGTGGGGAAAAGCCACGTAAAGCGCGTAAATGCGTCTACGATCACCAGAATGAACTTGAAGCCTTCTTTAGTTTGCTGAAGTGGGCCGAAATGATCTAAATGTAAGACCTTAAATGACTCATTGATTGTCGGGACTGCTTGCATCTCGCCTTCGCGTGCGTGCGACGACGAATTCACTATGACGCATGTAATGCAATTGTCAATGTGATCGACAATTCTTCTCCTCATCGATGGAAACCAATAGGTACCCGATACCCCTTGAAGGGTTTTCTCGATTCCACAATGAGCTGATTCGTCATGATATACTCTTATTATATTGGTAACCATTGATTCGGGTACTGCGAAACGTGACCGGTCATTATCTTTCCGATAAACTAACCCATCAATTAATTTAAACTTTTTATCTTCCTTGTATTCAAGATCGTGCGCTATGACCTTGAATACAGGGTCGCACAATTGCTTAATTTCTAATTCTCGTTCGAGAGATAGCGAGCCTATGTAGTTTATTGCGCGACTTAAAGCGTCTACATGAACCATTTTATCGCCGGCTCGATGTGTCAGTTTAAAATTATAGTTCTGTAACGATAGAGTCCATCGAGCGATTCTTGGGTTTAAACTTACCTTATTTACCGCGTGCACTAGCGCGTTACAATCTGTGATAACCGTAAAGAGAATACCGTGAAGATAAATGTGAAATCTTTCTATTGACCGTACGATCGCGAGCATTTCCAATTCGAAGCTATGATAGTTTCTCTCCGCCTGATTTAAGGCTTGACTGAAATATGCTATCGGTTTCATTTCCCCTGAAGCCTGTTTCTGAAATAAAATCGCACCGAGTCCATTCCGACTTGCGTCCGTATGGAGTTGGGTCTCGGCGTGCGGATTATAGATGCTTAAAATTGGTCGTGAGGTCAATTCTTTTTTCATTTTTTCGAAAGCTTCTGCGCAATCGCTATCAAAATTGAAAACTACTGCTTTTCTCGTGAGATTGCGGAGCGGTTTTGACTTGACGGCAAAATCCTTAATGAATTTTCGGAAAAAGTTCATTAATCCCAAAAACCGTTGGACTTCTTTTACATTTCGTGGCCGGGGAAACTCTTCTATGGCCTTTACGTGGCGCGCGCCAATCGAAATACTATTATGCGACACAATGTACCCCAAATATTCGATTTTGCGCTTGAGGAATTTGCATTTAGCTAAATTCAATTCAAAATTATAACTTTTCAAAGTAAGCAGAACTTCTTTTAGTGTACTTAAATTTTCGTCAATTGATTTCGACGCTATCATTATATCGTCTATATATACGATAACTTTGTCTTCGTCAATGAAAGACTGTAAAATATTTACTATACGTTTTTGAAACTCGGCAGGTGATTCACAAAATCCAAAGGGTAAACGAACATATTCATATTGCCCATCCGGGGTTCCAAATGAGAAATACTTTGCGTGATCTTCGTCCACCTGTATTTGGTGGAAACCATTCCGAAGATCGAGCAAGGAAAATACCTTTTTATCTCCTAACAGCGCAATGCAATCCTCAATCACAGGAAAAGGAAAATGCTGTTTCAATACTCTTTCGTTAAGGGGTCGTAGGTCCACGCATAGACGCATCCGACCGTCCTTCTTCCGTACAGGTACTACGCGTGCACAGTACGGAGACGTACTTTTCCGAATTATACCGCGGTCCAGAAGATCCTGAATTATTTTCCTTATTTCTAGTCTTTCGCTATATGCAAAACGTCGCGGTGCATACGTAAAATGTGTGTGGTCCTTGAGACACACTTTTACAGAGTAATTATCGTCGATTACATTTACGGGGGTTTTCTCGACCTCCACTAACAATTCTTGCACCTTATTGGTGGTTTCTATGCCGAAATCTGTTTCAATGTCGAGAGGGGCTCCCTCGGGAGTGTCCTCCTCTACTACCGCTAATAACCTTAGCAACGCCACCGGAAATTCTCGCGCGCTTTGATCGTTTTCTGGCGGGCTATACGTCGCGGTAATCTTGTGCGCGTTTAGAAAATCGCGTCCAATAATAAAATCAGTGACGAGAGTATCCTCTCGTAAAACATGTAAATTTATTTCGAATACTTGTGACGGTAATTGCTCGAGACAGATATCCGTTTTCAACGTTCCTCGGATTTCTACCGGGACATTATTTAACGCTCGGTAAGTACAACGCGGTTTCTCAAGTGACCTTTCGTCTGGCGCGAAAAAACTATCGTATACAAATGATTTCACAAAGGAGACCGGGCTACCCGTGTCTATCAATGCCTTCAAATGACATTTGCTATTGTTTATGGCGTTAACCTCTACTGACAAACTTTCGATTTGAATGTTCCTACCGGTTTCAGGTTGTACAAGGGCAATCGTGGTGTCTTCCTCCGTTACCTCTACGGCTGCTACGGGGGTCGTTGACGGCAGATTCCCTGTAGATGATGCCTTGACTGATGACGACTGCGCTTGCTCCTTCCGCTGCAGCTTGTAGCAATTCGCTCTGACGTGTCCTGTCTTCTTGCAGTAATGGCAGGTAATCTCGTCCTTGTCCGGCGTCTTGGACGACTGGTTCGCCTTCTCCGTCGTTGCTTCTTTCGCCTTGGCTCCCTTCCAACCACCGGGGAGTCTCTTATCGGCTTCCATTGACACGGAGGCTACCCGTCGCATGGCTTCCAGAAACGAATCAACCGTTTCGTGATTCAAAGAAATAGCGATCTCTCTAAGCGCTCTATTTCCAATGCCGCTTATGAGAAGATGTATTGCGCTATCTTCTGCTAAGTTTAAATTATGCATGAGGGTTAACTTCTCCATGGCATATTCCATGAAAGACTCTTTCACAGCATTCCACCGACGTGCTTCCACTTTCTGTAAAGCTACGTGGTAAAGAATCTTCCTTTGGAAGCGTCTAGTGACTGCTTTCTTAAAGCCGTTCCACGACTCAATCATAGGTCCAAAGCCTAGGTCATACCACCGCTTGGCTAATTTCACTAACCTTGAAGATGCCGCTAGCAAGATTACATCATCGGGAACTCGATGCATTCGTGCTACCTGTTCTATTCGTCGAATCCAGAGCTCGACGTTCTCATTTTCTTGGCCACCGTATTCAGGGATTTGAGATGCCAGCAAATTAATTGAGTGCGAATACGGCATTGATGCAACCGTGGTTCCTCCAGATGAAGCACGGCTCTCTGGGGATCGTGCCTCCGGCACCGGTCGTTCTTCTACGACCGTTTCCCTTACTACGCTCCGACTCGTCATGACTGCGAGCATCTGCTGGAGCAGCTCCTGTTGCTGTTGCTGAGATTCCAAGATTTGCCGCTGCATATCCCGCAGTGGTCCTGAGATTGCACTCACTAAGGATGTCGCGTCCGTTGTAATTTGCCTGGTAACAGCGGGCTTAGCTGACTTAGAACTGGAGTCGCTTACTTTTTGCGCAGTGGAAGTCGCTTGCCGACTTCTTGCTCCTGAGTTCGCTGCCTCATGATACGACATGATCGTATCTATAAGTACCTTCGGATCCTCACTCAAAGGCAAATGGTACTTCTGTGCTTCCTCTTGCAACTCATCGATTGACATGGTGTCTAAAGATGCCCGATCCATAGCGTCGATTTTCCGCACCGAATTTAATTCACGCGAAACCGAACTAATCTTACTTCCCACACTCGATTTCTGTCCTTGAGGGGTAATAAGCCGAATCCCTTGAGGGGTACTGAGCCGTATCCCACTTCTGAGTTTCATCAAGCTGTAAGACTGCCTTATGATAACAGTCAATTTCCAAATCGCATCCGTTAGAATTAACGACTTCAAAACGCTTGAGCCGAAGGGACAAATTTCTGGGATAGTAATAATAATAGGGAAGGAGAGAAGATAATTCAAATGACTGTCAGGCCTAAACTTCTTCTTCTTTCACTCAACAGAAGTAACCTTTATTTTAACACAAAAGATTAGACTTGAATCTAAACGTACAAAAGCGACGGTGAGCTTAAGGGTAATATCGAACGATATTCAAAACTCGCGTGACTGCGACAAACCGTCGTCGGCGCCGTCCGTGCTCCGGTTTTTGACTGTTCGGCTCCGGCCCGAGGCGCCGCACAGAGCGATTACAAGTACTACTATCCATACGTTTGATAGCTGTGGTAACGGTCGCGATAAATAGATGTCTCGTATGTTCACATCGACGGACGAATATTATAATGCTTGATTATCGAAATATCTTACAATACGTTGACACGCCGATTGATGATAATAAGATTGCTATTGCCTTCCTTTTTGTATTTGTATCTCCACTGGCTTCATCAATCTCATTTGCTAATAAATAATTTGTGAGGAGAGACTCCTGCCCATGATTCAAAATCATCTGTATTTGGGTTGAATTCTAATATCTTTCCAATTGGCATCGTGGTTTTTTAACCTCACAGGCACGTGTTAGATTGCCTTTAGTTGTGGGTTTTCGCACGATCAAAATACTCGTTGCCAAATGTTATGTTTCGCGCCAAATAACTACACTTGCGGTTATTATAAATCTAAGTGTATTTAATATCTCAACTTGTGTGTGATGCAATACAATAATACATTGTCGTTCGAGAGTCGTCCTCTTTCCATATCCACCGTTGTCGTTGTTGTCGTTGCCGCGCCCCCTATACTCCATTGCGATACCACTATGCAACAGTCTTGACGTAAATTGACCTTTAAGATGTTAAATGTGAAGTAGTGACGTACAACAGGAAGTAATTAAATCTTCTTAATAACAATATGATAGATTTGTTAATGAATTACGTGTCTTGTAGCTAAAAATGTATGTTATTCTCTTTTTGATTGCAGTAGCAATCAAAGATTAGTTTACTAATGTGTCACATTTGAATAAATTCGCTGAATTATTAAAAACTTTTGCAAAGTCACAGCTTTGAAACGTTCATAGACGAGATTACTCCATATCGTACGTATTCTAAAAGAACCGAAACTATCCGCTTCAAAATGCAATAAATCCCTTTGACGCATTGTGTGCTTGTTGTCCTCATTATTCGCCGAAAGAACACGATTAAGACTCTAGCTGATAAATTCCCTTTTTTAGTAGAAACAAAGATTGACATAAAAGTGAATATATCTTTTGAGATACGCTTTGCCTATCCAATAAAAAAAGCGAAGACAAAATTCCCATTGCCTATGTTTCTAACTCTTCTATATTTAACGTTAGTGGATTCTGGCGGATAAGACTTGAAGGTAAATTTTCAGAAATAGTACTCCGTCAAAAACTGCGGTTTTTTCTTCAGTAATGAATAAAACTAGTTGTTATAAAAAGACATGTAGGGGAACCTGGGGTATAATGAAACCATGGGGTATAATAGGATGTACTCGATATCTTTTTACAGATATGCTAATATGTAATGAATTGTCAGACAATAGTTACTGTTAGATATATCTTATTATATATTATTATTAGTTGTCATATTATTTTTACCTGAAAATTGCTAAAAATTGTTTAATGTGTTCGCTTTACTGTCCACGAATAAGTTACAGATTCTTTGGTATGTTCGCATAAGGTAAGCAATAACAAAATTCTATTTTTTATTGTCATAAGTACATTTATCTTATTATATAATCTTTTCTTGTTACTTTAGTAAAATCTATACAAATATATTGATTATCTGTGATATTTTATATTATCTAAAGTAAATTTATGTACTTCGAGGCATAATGGTGCACTGGTGTTATTTTATGTTTAAAATGAGTTTATGATTCATGTGCAAGTGTAGATAAAAATGATGAGAATTATTTTATTTGTGTTATCTTCTTAAACACATTTTTATTTATGTTCAATATAATAACAGTATACCTTGTGTATAATATATCACTCAGCATCACATATACAATTATTAATAAAAAATTAAAAATTAAAAGTGCAACAATGTATTTTTACTTATATTATATGTTCTAAGTCACTTTTAAGCAATGTTCAATTAATTTTTTAAAAATAGACAAGTTTTCTGTGGTGCCCCATTATGCCCTGCATAAATGACATAGTGAGGTTACGACACACTCTCACAAAACAATAATTTCGTCCTGTTAATCTATACTTTTGCGGTAAAACTTAAGTTTTCCTTATAGTAAATACTTCAAAAAATATTTTAATATAATATATAACAAAGTTGATTTATTTATCTTTAATATGTTTAAAACTTGAAAAAATCTAACTATAACCATTATACCCCAGGTTCCCCTATAAAGCCATGTTTTAAGAGGAGGCTTGTGGGTTTTGTGGGAAAAAATTCTATTTCAAACACGCGAATAAGGCAATTTTATTTTTGAACGCGTGATAAGTTGTACGCTCCTAGGTAGGGAGGGGACGTGGGATGGACCTTTCTTCGCGTAAAAAGTTGCGCGCCCCTTGGTAAGTAGGAGAAGGAATGGACTTCGTTTCACGTTAGAAAACATATGCATGGAGGCAATACGTTTGGGTGGTCCGTTTTGCGTTGTAAAGTATACGCAAAGCGAGAGCCACCTAATCCTAAAATAAGTTCGGTTAGGTTATATTTTTTGGAGGCGGTGCCGCCCCCCGCAGGGTACTGCCTCCACATATACACTTTATAACGCGAAACGAGAACTATCATTTATTCTTATCATTAACTAGATTTGGAAATTCGTATAATCGCATATTGAAAGCTGTTAACGAACTGTAAGAACTACGTCTACTGTTTACAAAATGCCTGCGATTTTCTGTGATTTTCTGACTTCGTTTACATTCTTCAAGAGATTATTACGGCATATACAAACTTCACCATTCGTAATATACTTCTTATACGAATGTCATCCTCTATACGTTATGAAACTTTAATTTACTATATCTCTTAAATCAATGCCGTCCCCCACTTAATTCTTACGGGAAATCACTCAGGACATTCTCCCCTACAACATATCTAAAGGACACTCAAATCGGTGAGGTGTAACCTAAAGTATACATTTATCAAATAAAAAATAAAACTGTTTTATTCGTTTTTGAAATAAAATTTTTTTCAAAAACCACAATCCCTTTTTTAAAACATTGTGTACATATCTTTTTATCACTAGTTTCATTCATTACTGAAAAAAAACCGCAGTCTTTGGGGGAGCATCACTTCTGAATATTGACCGACTTGAATAAATCGAGTTGTTCGTGTGGATATTGAGTGGTTCAACTCGATGCTTGACATTTTTACACCAGCAACAATTAACAACTATATCATCACGTGTTTGAGTCCCACACATATCGCAGACGTGAGATAAACCGCGTTAAATCTTCGTGGTTTGTATGAAAATATCAGCTCACTACTAAGATAATGGAAAACATGTAGGAGATAAGAAAACAAAATTAGCACTAGTATATACCTCCTTTCCAGGCATGGACCATAAAGCATGCGAGAACGACCGCCTGTTGCTCGTTACCAGTCAGTGAAAGAAGACTCACGGGTCTTCAGTCATTATTCCTAAGCGTAAGAGTACTTAATTTGTACCAGTTTAGCCATCAGTAATCAATCAGATACCATCAGTAACCAATTTATCAGAAACCAGTTTATCATTAACTACAGTCGAGTTAAGGCCAATTAAAACGAAGGCGGTGATACGAGGTCTATACAGTCCTTGGTAAAAATTTTTCTTATAATTTCTCATATACATAATTTTTGAGAAATTATGTGAAATTATGAGACATTTCTCAGATTTTCGAATATTTTCTCATACTTTTTCTCAACAATTAATAAAAAATATCATAATTTCTCATAACGATCCGATGTGAAATTATAAGAAATTTTTCAGATTTTTGAATATTTTCTCGTATTTTTTCCAGCAATAATTCGATAAGAAATTATGAGAAATTTTACAAATATTTTCTCGCATTTCTTCCTAACAATACACACACCCACCAGCTAATAAAAAAATATACTAATTTATCATAGTGATCCGATAAGAAATTATGAGAAATTTTTCAGATTTTCTAATATTTTCTTAAATTTTTTTCCTAACAGTTAATAAAAAAATATTACAATTTCTCATAACAATCACTTTCTCATAAATATTCATAAATATTTATAAAATGCAATGAGAAAATAACTTTTTTATGTTTTGTTATCATTCGTAAAATTTCTCCTTTCAAATATGACGCATGTTTTCATATTTTCTCATACAAAGTATTTCATTTTTCATTAATAAGATTGAAAGACCGCTAATGTTAACTACAATGCTTTAAATTAAGAAGCGCCATAACGGTCAGAACGTTAAGATGTTGAACTATTGTGAATTCATTTAAATGAATTAATTTTCAGAAATTATAATTGCGTACCGATATGGTTTAATTTCATTTTTCATATTTTATCATACACCTGTACACAATTTTTCTCATAACTTCTCATAATTTTTCAGAAATTCCAAAATGTCTTAAAAAATGTTACTTAATTATATGTAGATTATGCGCTTCCTCATATTTATAAATACTCGTAAAATACAATCTGATTGCATTTTATGAGTATTTATGAGTATGAGAAAGCGCACAATCTATAATTAAATGTGACATTTTTTCTGAGATATAATGGAATTTCTGAAAAATTATGAGAAATTATGAGAAAAAATTTTTTCAAGTCCCATACACGAAAATTTTCAGAAAGATTTCAACTTTTCACATTTTATGTGCAATAATTCTGAAATGATTCTGCAATATGTAATATAAAATGTCGCAACAAAGGATTCTACAATATGTCACATGAAATGTT